CCTAGTATCCACTATGTTCTAGATTGATGTTGCTATGACTTTGCTATGCTTAATGCTTGTCACTAGGGCCCGAGTGCCATGATTTCAGATCTAAACCTATTATGTTTTCATGAATATATATATATATATATATATATATATATATATATATATATATATTCTTAATCCTATCTTGCAAGTTGTATACACCTATTAAGTGTTATGATCCACATACCCCAAGGTGAAAATAATTGGGATTCTTTCCAGTGAGTAATGTAGATTGAGGAGTTCATGTATTCACTAAGTGCTAATGCTTTGTTTGGGTTCTCTATTAAAAGGAGGCCTTAATATCCCTTAGTTTCTTTATGGACCCCGCTGCCAGGGGAGGGTAACACGAAAGATGTCATGTGATACGTCTCCAATGTATCTATAATTTTTTATTGTTCCACACTGTTATATTATCATTCTTGGATGTTTTACAATCATTTTATATTATTTTTTGGTACTAACCTATTGACATAGTGCCCAGTGCCAGTTGATGTTTTCTGCATGTTTTTTACATCACAGGAAATCAATACCAAACGGAGTCCAAACGCGACGAAACTTTTGGTGGATTTTTTTGGGCCAGAACACATCTGGTGGGCCAATAACGCACCTGAGGGGAGCTCCGAGGGGAGAACAACCCACTAGGGCGCGCTTGGGGGCCCAGGTGCACCCCAGTGGGTTGTGCCCTCCTCGGAGGCCTCCCGCCCCGCCTCTTTGCTCTATAAATACCCCAATATTCCAGAAACCCTAGGGGAGTCGACGAAAATCAATTCCAGCTGCCGCAGAGTCCAGAAACACCAGATCCAATCTAGACACCATCTCGGAGGGGTTCATCATGTCCATTGGTGCCTCTCCGATGATGCGTGAGTAGTTCTTTGTAGACCTACGGGTCCGTAGTTAGTAGCTAGATGGCTTCCTCTCTCTCTCTCTCTCTTGATTATCAATACAATGGTCTCTTGGAGATCCATATGATGTAAGTCTTTTTGCGGTGTGTTTAGAACTACTTTGGACCATATAAATTTGACATGCAAGCTCAAGAACAGGGTCACCTCCACAGCAAAAATTTAAAATAAATAAAGCACTAGAACCTAATTGGACCATGGGAGGAGTCACATACCGAAGAACAATCCCCCAAAGCAGTTTTGTGAATGGAGCTTTGAGCAAGGAGATCGAAAATGACAGCAAAACGAGCTAGAACACGGGTTTGAGCTACGGGGTGATTTTTCTGGAGGAAGACGAAGTGTGTGGGTGCTGGAATACGTGGAGGGGGCCCACGTGGGGCCCATGAGGCAGAGGGCGCGCCCAGGGGGGTGGGCGCGCCCTACACCCTCGTAGCCAAATGGTGTGTCCCCCTGGTGTGTCCTGAGTGCCAGAAATTCTTAAATATTCTACAAAAAATCATACACCATTTTCAGGGCATTTGGAGAACTTTTATTTTTGGGGTATTTTTTACTGCAAGGATAATTTAGAAAACAGACAGAAAATACTATTTTTACTTAATTTAATCTAAATAATAGAAATAAAAGGAGGGTACAGAGGGTTGTGCTTTCTAACTTCATCCATCTCATGCTCATCAAAAGGAATTCACTAACAAGGTTGATCAAATCTTGTTAACAAACTTCTTCCAAATAACAAGAAACCGGAGAATTTTTGAATAACACTAGGTTACCTCAACGGGGATATGCATGTCCCCAACAATAAGAATATCATATTTCTTTCTGACAGTAGGTAGAGGGAATTCAAAACCTCCAAAAGTAATCGTTGAAATTTTTCAAATAGAATTTATACTATGAGCTTGAGGTTGTTTCCTCGGAAAGTGTACCGTATGCTCATTACCATTAACATGAAAAGTGACATTGCCTTTGTTGCAATCAATAACAGCCCCTGCAGTATTCAAAAGGAGTCTACCAAGGATGATCGACATACTGTCGTCCTCGGGAATATCAAGAATAACAAAGTTTGTTAAAATAGTAACGTTTGCAACCACAGCACGCACATCCTCACAAATACCGACAGGTATAGCAGTTGATTTATCGGCCATTTGCAAAGAGATTTTAGTAGGTGTCAACTTATTCAAATCAAGTCTACGATATAAATAGAGAGGCATAACACTAACACCAGCTCCAAGATCACATAAAGCAGTTTTAACATAATTTCTTTTAATGGAACATGGTATAGTTGGTACTCTTGGATCTCCAAGTTTCTTTGGTATTCCACCCTTAAAGGTGTAATTAGCAAGCATGGGGGAATTTCAGCTTCCATTATCTTTCTTTTATTTGTAACAATATCTTTCATATACATAGCATAGGGATTCATTTTAAGCATATCAATCAAACACATACGCAAAAAGATAGGTCTAATCTTTTCAGCAAAGCGCTCAAAATCCTCATCATCCGTTTTCTTGGATGGATTAGGAGGAAAAGGCATGGGTTTTTGAACCCATGGTTCTCTTTCTTTACCATGCTTCCTAGCAACGAAGTCTCTCTTATCATAACATTGATTCTTTGATTGTGGGTTATCAAGACCAACAGCAGGTTCAATCTCTACCTCATTGTTATTACTAGGTTGATCATCAACGTGAACATCATCATTAACATTATCACTAGGTTCATGTTCATTACGAGATCATGTTTCAGCATCAGAATAGAAATATCATTGGGATTCTCAGTTGTATCAGCAACAGGTTCACTAGAAGCATGCAAAGTCCTATCATTTTTCTTTTTCTTTTTCTTAGAAGGACTAGGTGCATCAACATTAGTTCTTTGATAATCTTTCTCAACTCTCTTAGGGTGGCCCTCGGGATACAAAGGTTCCTGGGTCATTCTACCACCTCTAGTCATAACTCTAACAGTGTTATCATTGTTCTTATTATTTAAGTCATTGAGCAAATCATCTTATTCCTTCAGCACTTGTTCTACTTGAGTGGTAACCAAGGAAGCATATTTACTAATAATTTTAAGGTCACCTTTAACTCTAGACATATAATCGCTCAAGTGTTCAACCATATAAGCATTACATTTCAATTGTCTACCAACATAAGCATTGAAGTTTTCTTGCTTAACGATAAAATTATC